TATAGGGGGCCCCCCCCAAAAAAAAAAAAAAAAAAAAAAAAACAGGGGCCCTTGCTATGCACCCCTCCTACCCCCACCTCTTCGTCCACCTCCTTCGCCCCAGCAAGGCTTAGGGCAATCTCTCAAAGTGTTTATGATGAATAAAGGAAATTTTAATTAAAAAAAAAAAAAAGACTTAAAAGAGAATCGAAGTCATGCGCATATGCCGGTGATGGCAAAAAGAGGAAGAAAACAAGAAAAAAAAAAAAAAAAGGAAGAAAAAAAAATGGTGGTGATGGTGAGATTTATGCAGGCATGTGCGCATGGATCGGGCTAACTACTGCGCTATGTTCGTGCTTTCGAAGCATGAACCTAAGCATGAACCTGGTCGTGAACCTGGTCGTGAATACGGTTACAAAGCATGAACCGGGTCGTGAACACGGTTAGATAGCCAGAGCACACGGTTTCTAGGGAATGAAATAGATCATAGGCTTCGTGCATTTCGCTAGTGGGATTCGATCCCAAGATCCTTGTTACGATCTCACAGTTGTTCACAAGAACCTGGTCGTGAAAACGGTTATAGACACTGCTTGTATGCGAAATGACAGAGAGCCTCGCCCCACAATCGTTTCGCAGAGAAGCAGTTATTCATATTATCATATCAAATATGCATTTCTTATTTTATTTATTCACAGCCCCTCGTTTGCTGCCTTCTTCTCCCTCTCTGCCTACCGTTAACCGGGCAGTCTTTTTTTTTTTTTTTTTTTTTGACGATCTATATAGTCATTTTTAACTGCGCGGTGCAACGTAAGCAGCAACATAAATATGCATCTATATATCGTCACAAACAGAACTGCCCGGTAAAACCGTAGGCAGAGAGAGAGAAGAGGACAACAAACGAGGGGCTTATATATCGTCACATGAATATCAGAGCGCGAAAGCGAAAAAAAGCAAAAGAAACCAAAAAAGATATCAATTCATTTTTTAATCTTCTTCCTTACAAGACTCCCCCTGTTCAGAACCTCTTTTGCGTACAAGGCCGCCCACGTGGATGTAGGTTGAGCGGCGGCTGCCCCCACCCCCGTGTGTCATATCGACCCACTTGCACACAGCCAAAGGGCAAAGAGGCAAAGAAGAGAGCAAGGGAACAGCCAAATACAACAAAACAGGGGCAATAAGCGACAGCACAAATCCTCCATGCAAGCACCGCCCCTCCCTCCTACACAGGCCAAACGACGGGACAAGACCACCCACGACAAAACACTCTTGTCTGCAAAAACAGAAATCCCAGATTACAAAAAAAATAAAAATAAATAAATAAATAAAATCCCAGATTACATATCTATATACAGCAGATGGCCTTGTTCGGCATCAAGACGTTATATCCCCATTTGTAAACCGTTCGTACTGGGACAAAAAACATAAAAGACAATCCCAGATGATGATTCCCACATAAAAGCACCGCCCCCTCACACAGGCCGAACCACGGGAATCAACCAACCACGATGCCAAAGACAATAAAAAAGAACCCAAAAAACAAAAAAAACAAAAAAAAAAAACGGATGACTGGTCCCACATGAAAGCACCGCTATGCCCGGGGTACATATATCGTCAAACAGAGCTGCCGGGTAAGCAGTAGGCAGAGAGGGAGAAGACGACAACAAACAAGGGGCTATGATATATATCGTCACACAGTGTATCGGAGCGCAGCAAAGGCGAAAAAGAAAGAAAAAAAAGAAGAAGGAAAGCCGTAAGGAAGGAAAGGGAAAGCGCCGCCTGTTCATCACCTCTTACGTACAAGGCCACCCACGTGGATGATGGGTGAGCACGGGCTGGCCCCATCTCGTGTGTCACAAGGACCCACTTGCACGTAGCCAAAAGGCAAAGAGATAAAGAAAAGGAGGAGGAAACCAAACCTCAGTTGTCTTTTTTTTTTTTTTTTTTTTTAGGCAAACGGCAAAAGAAAAAAAAAAAAAGAAAAACCTCAGTTGTAGGACAGATAAAGCTTTCGACACTACCAAGGACAGATATATACGGAGTAACAATCCAAATACTATAATCAAAAGAGAGTAAAAGAAACGGATCCACAACAGACGGCCTGCAATATACAGATGTCATTCCACATCAGGGAGAAATGACCGACAAATATAAAAGAACGAAAAAAAAAAAAAAAAAAAAAAGAGGGAAGGGTAAAATCTGCCAAAAGGAAGAGCATGCGCCTGCTAGTACAGGCCCGACGCTAGCCGCATCATCTGCAAGAGCAGAGAGCTAGCAACGTCGGAGAATGTGTATACATATATATACATATATCGTCACAATCATATATATAGACATACAGCCTCCTGATGATTCGCTCAAACTCCGACGAAACGGTTTGTCACAGCCCCTCGTTTGTTGTCCTCTTCTCCCTTCTCCCTCCCTCTCTGCATACGGTTTACCAGGCAGCTCTGTTTCACGATATATACATATGTATATATATATCGTCCAACAGAGCTTCCGACGGTACACCGTAGGCAGAGTGGGAGAAGAGGACCACAAATACGTGTGTATGTATTGTCAAACAGAGAGAGCTGCCTTCGGTAAAGCGTAGGCAGAGAGGGACAAGAGAGAGAAGAGGACAACAAACGAGGGGGGACTGTGACAAACTGTTTCGTCGGAGTTTCACCGCGACGACATACATGTATACTCTTGTGACAATATATAGTAGATATAGATATAGATATAGATATAGATATGGATATAAACATACATACGTTCTTGTCGTTGCTCTACCGGCATATTCGTTAGGAAACTCCGCAGAACAGATATATGTCGTTCACCCATAGAGACCTTTTCTTAACTTAGTCTTCTTCTTGGTCAAAGAGAAGGAAACAAAAAGGAGAGACATACATTTGTACAAAACGTTTATATGAATATATGTACAAAACATTTATATGAATATATATGGTTGCGCTGATGGGATCCTTGCGGGCATTGATAATAGCGTGCCTCCAGATTAGACCACATTTGGGCAAAAAACACCAGGTATCTAGACTGAAAGATGCCCCAAATGCAGCTGTCATGACCGCACGTTCTATTTGGAGGAAGACAGTAGCGGTTCCTTCCATTGCCACTTATACATTTCCCGGTAGTCGTTTCGTATGCAATCCAGGGGTGTGTGTGTGTGTGTGTGTGTGTGTGTGTGTGTGTGTGTGTGTGTG